ACACACACACACACACACACACACACACACACACACACACACACACACACACACACACAAAAACAGACGCACACACACACACACACACAATCTGTACACGACTCACAAGCTCAATGTTTGTCCGACAAACAGCTTTTTTTTCTTTCTCTCTCTCTCTCACACACACACACACACAGACACACACACACGCACACACACAACATTCCGAAAGGAAAATAATAATGAAAACGAAAAAAAATACGATGAAAAATGAAAGGAAACCCCCTAGATCTCCCAAGCAGTTCCCCTCTTCTTGCCCTTTAACCCTTGCCCTTCCTTGTTTCACGTTTAAAAAAATAAAATAAAAAAATCAATCAATTAATCAATCAAACACACAATCAATCATGATTGATTGGTTGGTTGATTGGTTGGTTGATTGATTGATTGATTGATTGATTGATTGATTGATTGATTGATTGATTGATTGATTGATTGGTTGATTGATTGATTGGAATAGATTGATTGATTGATTGTGATTGATTGATTGATTGCGATTGATTGATTGACTAATCCCCCTTCCCCCGTTCTCTCTCTCTCACGAATACACACACCCACACCCACGCATGCACACGCACATGCACATGCAAAAAAAAATAAAAAAAATAAAAAAATCAAGCAACGTGATGGCAATTTCGTGGGCTAACCGCCCCAACCAACTTCCCCCTACTCCCCCTCCTCCTCCTCCTCCCTCTCTCTCTCTCTCTCTCTCTCTCTCTCTCACACACACACACACACACACACACACACGCACACACACACACACACACACACGGAGTATTTGAAAATGAAAAAACAATGAAAACGAAACAAAAAGATTGAAAAACGGAAGCAAATCCCCAAGATGTCCCAACCAGCTTCCCCCTTCTTACCCCTTCCCCCCTCTTGCGATTTCCCCCTTGCATTTCCCCATTTTACCTTTTTCGGGGGGGAAAAATCAATCAATTACTCTAATTGATTGGTTGATTGATTGATTTATTGATTTATTGTTTTCTTTTCCAAAACAGTTTATGGGTTTACCACCAACTCGGCCCCGTGATGACGTCTCAGAGAACCTTGACACCTGAAAATGTGTCAGACTCTCTCTCTCTCTCTCTTTGTCTCTGTTACGATCCTGGTCATTTCCCAAGTGCAAATTCACAATGAAAGACAATGCCACCCAATTGCGAAAGAGATGAAAGCACTTGCAAAAAGATAAAAACCAGAGGAGAGAAAAAGAAAAAGAAGAAGAAGAAGAAGAAGAAGAAGAAGAAGAAGAAGAAGAAGAACAAGAAGTACACCAGCAAGACCAATGACAATTCCACCTTCTCTCTCTCCACCTTCCTCCTCCTCCTTCTCTTCACCAATCTTATTCTTCTCTCAATAATAATAATGACAATGAATGGATGGACCAGAATCAATATCCGAAGTTCCCTCTTACAGCTGACTCAACTCAACAACAACAACAACACAACCAGTCCACCATAGCTATGGCTTCCCTCCTTCAGCCTCCTCTCTTATGCATAGGCTATGGCGGACTAATGAGGGTTTTGCCCTGACATCCAAAGGACAACCCAAAGCAGCTATGGTGCTGCGCTGATGTCCAAAGGATAACCCAAAGCAGCTATGTCGCTGCTGCCTGGTCCGCCATGCCTGACTCTGCCTCGAGCTTCCCCGGTGACGCACTACCCCAGCTCGGGCCTTCGAGATGCAGCGCCCAACAAGGTGGTGAAGATGGTGTCTACCATAGCCAGGTAAGTGCCCCGCCACTCTCCTACTATGCCCCCTTCTTCCTCCTCCTCAAGCTGGACTGCTCGCCATAGCCAGGCTGAGCTCCAGCGGCCCTTCACCTCCAAGCAGCGCTGCACCAGTCCAGCGCTGCACTCCAGCAGCATGTCGCCAATCCTTGCACGCCGCAAATGAGGAAGAGCTCTTTGCTCTTCCTGGAGATATAGCGGCCTACCGGCCTCCTGGGCGGTGACTTCCTAGACCGAGCGGCCTCCCAACAACCCCTCCCTTTCGGAGGGAAACATCATTGCAGGCTTTGCTATCCTCCGTACAGGCCCTAGACCCGGTCAACTTGGACTGGTACCGGCCTACCGCTATCCTACCGCTACTGGGCCTCTAAAAATGCCAACTTTTTGTCTTCTTCTGCTCGGCCTCCAGTAACCGACACCCCTACCACCACTTGAGTGGTACCGGCCTACCTGCTACTGGAGTGTTTTTCCCCGCTGTTCTAAGTGTTGCAGGCCTACCCCCGCTACTTGAATGTTTTCCCCCCTGCAACCCTCAAAGTCATGGCCACAGGTAAGTACCGGCCATGCGGGGCCCTTCAACCAACAAGTACCCTTGCGGGTCATACACACACTCAACCGACAAGCACTCAGACAGGCATGCAAACCAGCAGGCACGCACACACACAGACATGGAAATCACAACAGAATGCGTGAATTTCAGCAAGGCATTCATTCCAGCGGCAAATCCCAAAAATCAGCAGTGTTCTCAGTCTGTGTTTTTGGCGGGTCATTACATTACCCCCCTCTCAAGAGCGAGGTCCCTTCGAGCGAGTAACTCATTCAGAGTTGGCACAAAATGCATCATAAGAGTAAATCAGAAGGAGAGACTTAGTAAGTCCATGAGGAGTCATGGTTGCAACAAATTTAGCAGTCTGTCCCTCAGCGATCTGTCGTTTATAAGCGTTCACAACACGGGGAGCATTCTTTAGCAGTTCTTTTTGGTCGATCCAGAAGAATTCAGTCAACGGGTGATAGAGGAAGTGAACCTTGTACTGTCTGTTCCTCCCTCTTCCCTCGTGAGAAACGATTTTGTCTATCTCATGGCCGTCGTCGATAGAGCGAGGTATCATAGGATCTCGGAAGGGAAAAGTCTCATCATCAATGTGTGGGAACAGTTTGGACGCATGAAAGACCGGATACTTGCGCAGATGAGGAGGCACGTCAATCACAAATGAAGGACCAAAATCATCCCCAATCACCTTCAGAATTTGCCAAGGGCCATAGTACAACTGAAGAAGCTTCCGTGATACGCCCTCTTCATCAGAAAACTCAGACATTTTGACCCAAACATAATCCCCTACTTTGAATTTTTCTTCTCTGCGGAACTTGTTGGCATGTTTGATCATGGCATGCTGACGCTTGTTCATGACTGCAATAACAACTTTGAGCAAGCGTGCGTACTTGGCATTGTAGTCGGGCATGCCGGGCATCAGACCAGGTGACCGTTCGGGGAACAGATAGGAGAGGGGATTACACATCGGCCATCCATATTGCAACTGGTTTGGTGTCACGCCAGTTGCAGAGTGAATGGAGTTGTTATACAATCCCTTCACTTTGTGCAGCTCCTTGTCCCATGTGTTCTGATATGGAACAATCAATGCGTGAAGTAGTTGGATGACAGTCTGGTTTATCTCCTCGGCCAATCCATTGGCTTCGGGGTGTCGACCAGAAGTCTTGTTCAGTTTAATGTCATAGATTTGAGAGATGAAGTCCTTCCAATCTTTGTTGATGAATCTGGTGTCCCGATCACTCACAATAGTTTTCGGGACGCCAAACTACAGAATGTACTGTTGATGGAATTCTTCAATGACAAGTTCAGTCTGGGCATGGGGAGGGAAAGGAATCAAATTCAGAAATTTGGAAAAACGGTCCACGATGACCATGACTTGTGAATTTCCAGCCTCACTCACCTTTCCCATGTTCGTGAAGTCGATGGAAATCGACTCACCAGGTCCATCCAGAATGGGGAGGGGTCTCAGCAGACCATAAGGCTTATGCTTGTGGACCTTGATTCTTTGGCATACCTGACATTCAACAATAAATTTCTGAGCGGATCCTTTCATTCCTGGCCAATCAAACTGCTGCAGAAGGCTTCCATAAGTCTTCTGAAAGCCGAAGTGTCCACTCCGACCATGTGCCAAATCCAAGAAATGAGTCCGGAGAGGCGCATGGTTGGGTACACACAAACGATCAAACTTCCCATACCGGCGGAATACAAGACCCTCGCACTCATGAAAATCAGGCTGACTGTTAGGATCAGCCTCGAGCTGCTCAAGGATGGGACTAAGGTCCGGATCCTTGGCGGTGTGTTCGACCAGATTCTCCTTCAGTTTCCTTCGGATGTCATACGAACCCACAAGGCAAGTCAAAAATTCAGGGTGACACGACAAAGCATCAGCAACGCGATTATAAAGCCTTTCTTATGTTTCAATTCAAAATTGTACACATCAATGTCATGCAACCAGCGGGTCGGCGTAGGAGAGAGATCAGTTTGTGTCTTAATCCACTGCAAGGTCTGATGATCTGAGTAGACCTTGAAATGCCGACCCAAAAGGTAGTGCTTCCGATGTGTGAGCGCCTCGCGCAAGGCGTAGAGCTCACGCATGTATGTGGAGGTAGCTACCTTGTGGTTGGGCATGCGTTTGCTGTAATATTCGAGCGGACGCAGTCCATCACCATCATCTTGTTGCAGCACTGCACCAATCCCAAACTGACTCGCATCCGTAGTGACTACGAATGTGAGGTTAGGATCCACAATGCGGAGCACAGGATGACTCACCAATGCCTCTTTTAAAGCTTGGAACAAAGTCTCACACTTCTCACACCACGCATAGGCAACATTCTTACTGGTTAGTCTTGGGACTGGGTGAGCAATGACAAAAAATTTTGGCACAAACTTCCGGTAGTACGAAGCCAAACCAAGAAAAGAACGCAGTTCGCGTACGTTCGCTGGTCGAGGCCAATTTCGTATGACCTCCACCTTGGTTGCCTCTGGCTCAAGGCCGTTTGCAGACAACCGGTGCCCAAGATAGATGACGTTGTCCCTTCCGAACTCAGATTTCTCTAAGTTGAGGTGCAGTTGTGCCTCCTTGAGGACCTGCAAGACCTCCTCAAGGTGCTTGAGGTGCTCTTCCTTGGACTTGCTGAAAATCAGAATATCATCAAGGTACACAACCACAAACCTGTTGAGCTGATGGCGGAGTACTTTGTCCATGAGGCTCTGAAATGTGGCTGGTGCATTCGTAAGATCGAAGGGCATAACGATGAATTCGTACAACCCATCGCGTGTCTTGAATGGAGTTTTGTGCTGGTCACTCGGATCAACTTCAATCTGGTGGTAGTCAGATTTGAGGTCGATCTTGGAGAAGACCTTGCACCCACCTGCAACATTTAGCAGATCATCTATATGAGGCAAGTGTTACGCATTCTTTCGGGTGATACGGTTTAGGCCATGATAGTCAATGCACATCCGGAGTTTGCCTCCTTTCTTCGACACAAACAGGACAGGTGCACCGAACTCAGACTCATTAGGCCTAATCCATCCACGATCGATCATGTCATCAATCTGCCTCCTCAACTCCTCCAACTCGCCTTGTCTCATACGGTAGACGCAGCCCTTGAAGGAACACTCCCTTCTATTATCTCGATCTTGTGTTTGACTGAACGCTTGGGAACTCCACGAGGTTCGGCCAAAATTTTAGGAAGTCGATCTAATAGTTGGCGAATGTTTGTTGGGACTTCCGGTGGAGGATCGTCCTCATCAGGAGAAAGAAAATCAGTTTGAGAATTTACAGCAATTACAACCAGGTTCGAAGTACTTGGTTAAGAAGTAGAGGGATTGTTCACAGTAGAAGTAGAGGCGGTAGAAGTAGAGTTACTTACCGAGGTAGAAAATGCAGCAAAAGTAGAAGGCACATGGAGAGGCTTTACAAAAGCTACATGTACATGTTCAACCTCCTTGCGCCTACGCACTGATTTGCAGGATTTGTTTGCACTTAGAAGAGTCACAGGGGACTCGCCCATCTCATCCAATAGGACAGTACGCTCGTTCCCCTTGGCATCACGCACCATGAACTGATTGTCCGCCCACGTGGTCCTTAGGCAATGAGCCTTTAACCAGCCCAAACCAATGACCGCGTCGAACGGACACTTGTCCATGACATAGAAGTTGAGCTCATGTGTGATAGTGCGGTCCTTGTCAAAGGTGACGCGCACACATTTGACAGCATGTGTAGAGGTGACAACCTCTTGGTTGCCCACCTGGGTCTGACAAGGGTTCTGCAGTTCCACTTGCTTCATTCCCAGACCCGCCTTACGAATCCCGTTAGGAGAAAAGAAATTAGTGGTTGAACCACTATCAATCAGCACGCGGATATATCGGCGGTTAATGAGCAGTTTAAAGAAGGTTAGCTCCACACTCCCTTGAACACGGCGTTGCTGCTTGAGCTGCAGCCAATGTTCCATGTGAGCGTGGAAGTCAACTTCCTTAGACTCCTCCCAAGGCTCAGTGTATAGCACATGAACTGCAGCAGCCTTGGAATCAGCGTCGTTCCGGGCTTCAAGAGTAGGCTGTTGATCAAATTCAGGCTCATTAGAGGGGCCTGCAACTGATGTTCCAGCTTCCCTTGTTGTAGGGAGTGTTGATGACTCCTCTACGCCCTTTGCTTGTCTATAACAGTCCTGCACAGCATGCCCAGGCTTTTGACAATGCAAGCATATGCGCAATTTAGATTTTCTTTCCCATTCCTTTTGACTGGTACGGAGGGCTTCCCAAGGCTTGGTAGACGCATCCTTCGGTTTCTTAGGGATCTTCGCATTCTTGGGGAGGTGGATAACAGTTCCCTTACCCGAACAACGGTTAGGCCCCTTGTTTGAAGCAGTCTTCTTAAACGCATTAAGTTTTTCGTCTTCGTTCACGTAAGACTCAATGACTGATGTGGAACAACCCATATCGGATTCCGGCTCTAGATCGACATCTAGAGACAGATCATCTGCGTAGGACTGATCTTCAGCCTCCCGATGTTCATGCAGGGCAAGCTGGTTGCTGCTTCCATACCGCTTGCGTTGTGGTTTTCCACCTGCAACGGGAGCCTTCTTCCGCCTGGCGAGGTCCTTGGCCTCTAGGTTGACTAGATCCGTCATGAGCTCTCGCCAGGAGGTATGGTCTTTGAGTGCTAACAGGGAGGGGTATTCTTTAGGGGCCACTCCCATGACTACATCCATACAAGACACGTCGGTCATTCCCAGATCTGGAGTGGTGAACAGACCAGTCAAGTGTTGTTCCAAAGCCTGCATGGAGGACCTCCATTTTTGGCCCTTGAGGGCCTCAAGCTTCAGCCTAGCCTTGAGCGCAGCATGCTTATCCTGGTACCGTGTGATGAGAAGGTCCTCAAGGGCGTGTACAGGGGTTACTTCCAGCCACTCAGTCAGGTCAATTCTTTCATAACCTGCAGCAACAGCTTGGAGTTCAATGTGATTCTGTATGGCGGCCTCAGTATAAGTGCCCATGATCATGCTTCGGTCTTCTTGCGGTGTCCGCATGACCTCGAAGTATGACCGCATGAAAATAATCCAAGAGGTGATATCCGTTTTCCCGTCGTACTTGGACGGCAAGGTGGCTGCCCGCTTGTCCACTACGGGACCGCTGTACTAAACGCCAGTAAGGACTGTGGCGTTTTGGGCTGATGTCCCTGCATTTGGGACTATGACTAGTGTAGAGCTGCCGGCGGTGCCGCTCGAGGAGCTGGCACCGGTTCCTGCGCTCGTCACAGTTCCACTTGCTTTTGCCACGAGGACTGTGTTAGATTGAGAGACTGGGACTGCAACAGGTCGAGGGTTAGGAGGGCGGGGGGCAGACAATTGGGACTGTTTGAGGCTGAGTAGCTCAGCCTGCAACTCTTGGTTTCGCTGCTCCAGTGCTGTCACACTGGACTCAAGGTCTTCCAAGGTCCGCAGTCGAACCAAGGCTGCTACGGCGGCAGCTAGTCCCTCCTGGAACCGGTCAGCAGTGGCTTCCGGGATCCGAAGGAGGGCCACCTGATCAACAATATTGGCGGCTCTGGCTGCTCCCTCTGCCTCCCTTTCCCTCTGCATGGCGTCATCATAAAGCTTCTGGAAGAACGGTCTCTCGTTCTCATCTCCTGCATCCAGCATGGCCTGCCATTGGGCAGATGTGATGTTTGCCATGCCGGAGGAAGGGGTGTCAGTAGATCTCTCAAGAGGGGTCCGCTCTCTCCTTACGTTTGGACGAACACTCCTCTTGCCCCTCCTCACACTCTCAAACARAACACCTTCTCTCTCCCTTCTCTCTCTCTCAGTTGTCTGCGCACGCGTCTCGATACCGGACATAGATAGTTCAGATGAAAGAAACAAGCAGAGAATCACACAAAGAAGAAGGCAGAATTCCTAGCCGGAGCGGCGATTCATTTGGACTTAGAGAATGGCACGCAGCGGAATAAAAGAATAAATAAATAAAAAATAATACGGAAGAGAGGGTTGACTTATAGAACGGGCCCAATCAGATCAGTTGGAGATCCCCTCTTGTCTAACCTGACAAGGGACATGTATCACAATAAATCAGCTGAAGAAAACTAACTGCAGCAATGAAGATTTCGAGGGGTGCAGACCGACGCCGAGCCAGACGCGGGGCAGTATGTGATAACAGGAGGTAAGACCAGTCAAGATCCCCTTGAAAGGAATGCCCTTGCTAGCCGTATGTCCCCCGAGTTCAGCGCAGCAAAGAGATGCACAGGCGGCAACAGATTTGGGCCCGAAAGGTCTTGTCCCGTTAGGCCTGGTCCCACTGGGTCCCGAGGGGTCCCAAGTAGGTCGTGGACCAGGACCAACGTGATAGGGGTACCAAGTCGGTCCCAAACTGCCTCTACCGTACTGAAAAGGAAAAGACAACTTCCAGCAAGAACTTACCCCTACAACCGTCCAGAAATGAAAAGACAATGCACCGTTGAAAGATATGTCATTTACAATAGATACATCATCCATCCATCCATCAGGTGAGAAAGCAATCCACATGCTCACACACAACCAAGACCGCAGAGAAGAGGAAGAGAGCCCAGCACACCCCCAACAGGCCATGAAGTACCAAGCAACCTCCCACGGGCATAACCTGGTCGCACGACACTTACCTGTGAGGCCCGGCCTCCAAAGATGGATAACGAGTCACCCCCCTCTCTCATAAGTCCTCCTGACCCCTAGCTACCACTACACGAAGTGTCCTAGCATGACTAAGAGGGCCTTCCTACCAGAGGTCGCCAATGGGTGGCCGTGACCGGACCTGACCGTACTCAGCCGTAACCGGCAGTTTTGGATGGGGTGCGGGTATGCCCCCAAAGGATATGCAGTGGTGCGGCTGGGTGTGAATATGTGTGCTGGGTGGAATTGGGCAGGGTGGGAAAGTTTCAGTGGGGCATGGCTGGGCAGGGTGGGAAAGTTTCAGGTGGCCATGGCTGGGTGTTGTCCCAATTCCCTGGGTGGGTACAACTGGGTGGAGGTTTGGCGTGGCTGACCCGAAGCTTGTAGGCCATAAAACCAGTATAGGTACTAGCCTTCTAGGTAGTAAGTACTAGGTAGTATTAGGGCCAGGCAAAAATATTAACTTACCGGGCCGTGGGTCCTTTTCACTGGCAATGTGGCAGGTATTGGGTTCGTATTAGTAAGAAATCGGCCCCCTCGTTTTTATTTTCCTATTGTTCCTCTTTTTCACCTGTACTTCATGGGAAGATTCACCGCCTTTTTGTTTTGGTCTTTTGTGCATGTGTGAGCAGTGGAGCGGCCGCTCCACTCCTCACACATGCACAAAAGACAGAAAAAAAAGGCGGTGAATCTTCCCATGAAGCACCGCAAGATTCATTCCCATTTTACACATTTGGTGAGTAGTGGAGTGAGCCCGCCCAACCTTTAGAAGTTGCTGCCAAAATTTCGAAGTTGAACTTCGAAGCTTCGACTGGCGCGGGGGGTTGGGTTGCTCCATTGCCATTCGGTCACTCCGGCGCCAACGAGCGAGGGAGGTGCGCTAATGTAAGAGTTAGGGCGCGGCTATTGCGAGCGGCAATACTGGGGAAAGCAGGCGCAGCAACAGCTACAGCAAGGCGAGTTTGATGGCGCTTGGCTATGCTGGCACAGCGGCAAGCTTGCAACAGCGGTGAGCGACGAGCGTGCAGCACTTCGCGGAGAGAGAGAGAGAGAGAGAGAGAGAGAGAGAGAG